AATAGATGAACGCGTCGGGTCACGGCGAGGGCAAGTGCGTTAAAAGCGGCGTTTAATTGGATAACAAAAATAATCGAGATCGACACACATACAGATAAATTCAGAGTGGATTCGAGTTAGCTTGATCCATGGCATGATTGTCATAATTATAACATCATATTAAAACTTTATTTGGTGGAAACACATTGACCAAGCCCGGATTCTTATTTCAGAAATTATTACGCAGATCAAGCTGCAAGAACAGGTGTGAATTCGACATTCAACACCAATCACCAAACAATTCAGAAACTTTTAGCCTTCGAAAATGAAAACAATTAGAAGTGTGTAAGGGCTGTGTAATTTCCTGTTTGTCCAACGCTTCGTTTTCGTGTCACTGTCAAAATTACTTGCTACCTTTTACTTAACAGGGACTAAATGGTCTCTATAAAACGATAATCAGGATCGCAAAAAAGTCAACTGATTTGAAACACTTGCGGACGTCTCTCTCTTTTGAAATCCGCCTCGGTGATCATGGGCTGGTCCGGAATCTATTTCTTTCAAAAGTGTTGCGCCAGGTTTACGTTGTCGGCGTTTCTCTTTAAACCTAGTCGTTTTTTTATGGACGAGGACAGTTGAATGAATCTAAGGTTAAGTGATGTCGCACCTTCGGATCGATTAGAAACGTGTGAATACATACACTATGGCTATACGTTTCACTGCAACTGCCCACAACACATCTAAAAACTCTCTCTCAAAAAAAAAAAAAATAGACAAAAAAAAAAAGAAAAAACGCCGACCGAAAAATGTATATCGTTTAAAAGTATACTGAACGACCAGTGTTATTACGGCTCAGGGGTATGACTTCCTCTCACTGTTGTCATTTGGTGGCGCACTTTCGGCGAGAGTCGGAAATCCGGAAACAGTCGACCGTTTCATGATAGGTGGGCGTGGCTACAACACGAGAAATATCCCAAATTTACTTGGATACGAGTAATCATTTTCAGCAAAAAAATCAATAACTACCCTTTTCAGTGGGACACAGATCTAAAATGGGAAACGTGAGGGTGGGCATTGCACAGGCACTTTAAACAATATATTCCTTTAACACAGTAAATTGCGCCCTCAAATGGCCAAATTTATTTTCTTTTGTTTAAACAAAAAAAATTGTATTTGTGTATGTGCTCCCGAATTCTAAACAGCAATGGCTTAAAGTCAAATTGCAAATACCCTTCTGAAATCATGCAATGTTGCCTTGAGTGATCATGACAATGAACACCATGTTTGTTTTGGTGATTAAACACCACAAAGCAAGGTACTGTGTCTCCATATTTCAGGATTTGTAGTCAAACCGATTAATTTTATCACATGGTGATTGCAATAATCAGTGGGAAGTGTTCTGCATATAATACAAAACAGAAATGCCTGTTATATAACTAATGTCTTGTTTTTCTACAGACGACGAAGCACTATGAGTTATTGAACTACAGCGAGCATGGCACAACAGTAGATAACGTGCTATATTCTTGTGACTTTTCTGATAAAATGACATCAACGCCACCATGTAATAACGTTGTTAGCAAAGTTCGCAGCATCATAAACAAATATAAGGAGAAACGAGATAAAGAAACTACAATGAGAGCCACAATGACGGACTCTGCATATCCTGCCAAGAAACTTTGTAACTGTAAAGCAAGTAGTTCGAGTCTGATCGGGGGTAACGGCGCCGGGTGGGAAGGTACAGCGTTATTACATCATGGTAGCTACATCAAAGTTGGTTGCTTACAGTTTGTGTTCAGTATAACTGAGTATGCCACTAAACAGGTATTTCAGGAAAAGAAACCAGTTTTGAAAACGCAGTTGTTGCGATCCCACTCTATAGTCTAGCAGCCGATAGAACTCGTTTTAAAAACACATAGTTGTAATGTGAACTTGACTATCTTGTGAAGGTTTGGATAACCCACGCCTGTGCCGCAACTTAGGCAACTGAAATTGTGCCATGTTCACTTTTATATATTTGTTCAAGACAAATAAAAAAGTGAGAGCATATTCCCTTCAAGTACAGATGTGTTTTTGGAGTCAAAGAATACAATTGTCTTATGTTAGCAGCTCCGGAATCTAAATATGGTAGTTCCAGCAAACCCTGGCATCTGATTATACCGGTAGTTGTATTCTAGTATCTTGTGCTTCTGAAAAATGGCATAACACAACCATCAGTCATCTTCTAGTGACCCATCATCTGAATATGGTCATCTTCTAGTGGCCCATCATCTGAATATGGTCATTTTCTAGTTGCCCAGCCACCTGAATATGGACATTTTCTAGTTGCCCAGCCATCTGGATATGGACATTTTCTAGTTGGCCCAGCCATCTGAATATGGTCATTTTCTAGTTGCCCAGCCATCTGAATATGGTCATTTTCTAGTTGCCCAGCCATCTGAATATGGTCATTTTCTAGTTGCCCAGCCATCTGAATATGGACATTTTCTGGTTGCCCAGCCATCTGAATATGGTCATTTTCTGGTTGCCCAGCCATCTGAATATGGTCATTTTCTGGTTGCCCAGCCATCTGAATATGGTCATTTTCTGGTTGCCCAGCCATCTGAATATGGACATTTTTTAGTTGCCTAGCCATCTGAATATGGTCATTTTCTAGTTGCCCAACCATCTGAATATGGTCATTTTCTAGTTGCCCAGCCATCTGAATATGGTCATTTTTTAGTTGCCCAACCGTCTGAATATGAACTATTTGAATACGCTCATTCAGGCCCCTGAATATGTATGTGCTAATATTGCAGTAGCCTAGGAATCGGAATATACAATATTTCAATATTATTGTTAAGTTTATTGAGGCATTTGTTTTTCTCAGATTCTGTGTTTTGGCGGCTTTATATGCAAGTTTTATTCTATCCTTCAGCAATTAATGTTTTTAAAAAGGAATTTATGCTGTGTGTCAGTACTCGAACATTCTTCAATTCAGGGACGTCGTTCTGAAATGTATATATGCAAAAGAGTGCATATCGGGATGAGAATTACTTGGCTTTTGAATACACTGTATTGTCCAACTTGCACTGATATTTCTGACTTATGAACTAGTTTTGATGAATAGTGTGTACGCTACATACAGTCCAGCACTATATAATCTGTCTCTTACTTCACCAAAGTTCAGGGTTCCTTCTAATAAAGCATTGGAATAACTCTGCTATTTTTTCTGTACAAGTTGTATTACATTAACAGATCAACTACTCTAAGCTTCTGTGGATAGTCACGGAATTCCAATATATATTGTATGGAAAAGCTCTGATGTGTTAAGGGGGAATTGCAACTTGGTGAAGTCACTGAGACTTAGAAGGAATGCTGTCAGTGTCAGTTGGCTTCTGTACTACCGTATTTGCTCTGTTAATAGTGCATCCCTGATTGAAGATTATACAAATTGCATTTATTGTATGTTGGAATATTAAAACTTATTTTTACAAAAGACACACCTGTCATTTGCATGAGTGTATGCAATACTAATAGAACAAATATGGTTTGTGTTGAATATATTAAGGAGAAACTCCCTCATGGTAAATGGGAGGGCCAATTAATAAATCAAAGTGAAGACTGTCCATGTTTATTCGTCTGTGAATTTTATAACTATGCAAGTTTTGGGTACCATGACGACCTATAAATTAAATATCTGTTTAGTACTTGCATATGGTGAGGTTGGTTTTGATGAAATCTTTAATTCTAATCCAATAAATTTCCCCCAAGATAATTAATTAACTTTATAATTAAATGTGATTTGAAAACAAAAATGAACTGTAGAAATGGCTGAAAATATAACTGTACATTTTACATGAATTTCTTTTTTGATGAGTTTGGGGGGTTTGCAGAAAGTTTTGAAATAATTGGTTCGAATTCTGAATTTTAAATTTGAGAAATGTATTCTCACATTATTTTGTTCAGCGGTTGGATTTTGGATTCAATACGTAAAGTGTTGTAACTATTTCTATCAGAAATTATTATTTTTTTGCTACCTATTGTATATTAATAAGCACGTAGTCAGAAATTTTAGCCTGGCTTGATAGATTGTCTTTGCTGCTGTATTAATCAAAGTGTAATTATGGATTTATTTTTACTATGCATATAAATGTGTGTTTTTTTTGTTTTTTTTTCAAACAAATACGTTATCTTGGTTAGGTAAAAAAGCCACATCTCACTTGGTCAAGTTCATCAATTTTTTTTAAAGCTTGCTGGTGTGTTACAACTACTGCTTTTTTTTTTATATTGGCATTATTCACGAAGTGAGTTATCACTTAATGATATAATTTACAGACAGTTTTTAGAGTCGTCTAACTCTACATGAAGAAATGTATAATGCAAACAAAAGAGGAACGAGGCATTGGTACCCGACTTTGGTAACCAGGGTAATAACAGTGGCTGATGCACGATTCCATCATATTGTTGTAATGCTTTTATATATTTTTATGTGGGGGCCACAGTTTATGTACTTATAATTCTTTTAACCACTTGTATATTTTTTAATTTGTTTCTTCATTTTGTCTACCTCATTTTATTGTTGGATGTATTTTATTTTTATATCTGAAAGTTTCTTGCCAAATCCTGCCAGTTGCATTGTGAATTTAATATTAGTTGTACATTGAATATTGCTTCCTGTTGCAAACACCACCCACTTGTATTTTGTTCGACAGCAAATATCTGTTGGGAAGTGGATGATGGATGACATACATTACACACAGAATATTTGAATGCATGGATGTGGCTAACTTCTGAAAAAAATGCTCAAAAATGTATGTATTTTGCTGAGTGAAAGGTTCCATCAAATAAATGACACCTGGTACCTCAATTTGTTTCCATGGAAACTAACATTTTTAATTGGAAATTGGGTGATGAAATTCTTACAATTGAGGTTCATAAAATAGTTTGGGCACCCCAGTGTTTTCTTCAGTCTTTCAAATAACAAGTCATGAAATGCTGGTGTCACAAGTATATTAACTACGTCTACAAAACTGTTTACCATTGTTTTCTGAATGAGAAACTCTTGTCAAAACATCCACTTAGATATGCCCCTCTTTGGAGGGGCACCCCCTTTGTGTATGAACTTAGTGTGGATTTCTATTGTGAGGTTTGCTTTCTGATACTGACGTGTACAAATTACTGAAATCCCAGTGTTATGCTCCACCAGTCTGGAAGAAAATATTATAATGCATGCATTTACGTATAACAAATGTGTAGGTGCTGGGGATTTAGTCTTGAGTGGTTTCCGGGGTTCACCTGGGTTATACTTGAGCAACACATAGTACGTATACATGGTTTTTAGCAAGTTATGTTCCAACTAGTCTGATTTTGTACTGTTTTAGTGTTCAAAATCATTCATGTAATATACAATCTGATTAGGCCTTGATTATGGCTGCTCGTCTAACTACAACTGACCTACGACCTATGCAAATCATGTTCAGGCAGCTCTTTTCTGACAGGATTTGTCAACCAATTAGAGCATGCCTTTCTAAATTTTGCTCAAGAAAGCGTTTCTGATTGGTTTCTTATCCTGTAACATGAAGTGTGATTTGTATAGGTTGTTGCTGTTAAGGTGTGTAATCCAGCGGCCATATATAAAAAACTACGCACACCTCAGATTGTGGTCCAATGATAGCAGTTGATTTGTACAATGTACATTTCTGTTTGAGTAGGAAAACTATCTTAGACTTGTTGCACTAGTGTACATGTTGTCCAGTCTTAAATTTATGTTAATGTAACACACCAGCGAGTCTGTCTCGATAGTATATTGTATATTATGTAGTATTGAAGGTGAGGACTGCACACGTCTATTAACATTTAAAATTATGTTATTTTTCATAAGTTATTTTTTAAATCGTGTATTTTTCTTCTTTATAGTTCATGGTACTCTATACATCATGTAATATTTGTGTAAAATAGATTGAAGAGAAGAAAAAAAAAAACTTTATCAAAACACTGCCTCTGTGTGATGTTGTTCAGCCTGTGTTTAGTGAGTTAGATGAGAATCCCTGGGATTGTATTGTGGAGTATTGGGCTGCCTTGTTCCTGGACTATTCATTTCCCACCTAAATGGTTTAGGTCAATACCATCTGGTGAATGATACAATTGACCAATAACATAGGTAGGATACCCACCTGTCAATTGACTTGCACGAGGAATAGATAGAAAATTATGGTAACACCACTTCTGGCATTTTTTTCCCCAGTGTGATGGTGGCCATAAAATTGACAGTATAACATTGGAACCCATGTACATGGATTGCTAGGGTATAACATGTCACATGTACACAGCTATTCACTTTCCAATAGGAGCCACCACAACCACCATTCACTTACCTATCTGAAGAACAACAACTTTCCAATTGGTGCCATGATGAACATTCATTTACTTACTGGTATGCCTTGAATACCATACTTGACAGAACCATGACAACTATTTAATTACTAATCAGTCATTGCATTTATTCTCTTACCAGCTGAGGCCATGGCAATCTTCATTTGCAAATGACTATCCATTTAGCATTAAGTGATAAGCCAATGCTTACAAAACAACCATGGTTACCATTCATATACCAACCACCTTTACT